TTGATGCTTTAGTTGAATAATTTTTTTGAAAAAAAAAGGCACTGAAAGAGAAGTCTCCTCCTAAGGATGCCCTACCGTTATTCACCAGAGAAAATTAATAGGTATACAGTTTTCAACCACTATGACCTTTGTGTCACTTGAAGCATAAAAAGTTTGGATACATATAATATTTTTCAGGATAGAAGCCTAACTTTTTGTTTTATCTGAAACATTGTAGCCTCATCTTATGTAAAAGAAAGTGTGTTAAACGCTAAGGGTAAGGAGGGTTGCTCTGATATTGCACATTTATTTGCATTAGATAATATTCTTCTGTCCTAATTATACTTCACATTTTTCATTTCCCCACCTTTTATTGCATTAAACAAGCAGCAGTGATTTTCTTTCCACTCGCTTGCATTGTCTGCCTTTGGAGCTGAGACATTTATCTCTCACAGAAGTTCTCATGACTGGCAGATACATAATAGAAGAGCTTCATCTTCTGAACTTTGTTCTTGGTTGGTGTGCCATGATGGAGAGGTGAGACATCTTCCTTTAAGTTGACTGTTCCCTTTCCTCCCTGGATCCTTTCCCCCCCCCCAGGAAAATAGCTTAATACAAATGAGACTGTGCCAATTGCTATCAATGTTTTCCTTTTAAGTCATCTTATGTCTTAAATGAAAAACAAGTATTTTAGAATGATAAAAAAAAAAATAAGGCCAGAATCCCAGTGCTAATCTCAATTCAAGTACAGTAGACCATTGAACCAATGGGATTTGGATATATGCTTACTCACCATTCAGCAGTTGATTCAGTAGGCTTACTCAAGGTAGGACTAGCAATAGACTATAGGCTTAAATGTTAACCAGTTTTTGACTTCATCTAATTCAGTGGAAGAATTAGAGGCACCTCACAGCTACATAATTACTTTTGTCTTCATTCTTTCTCTATCTGCATTCTCTTTGTGACAAGGGAAAACATTCTGTATAAACAATGTTCACCTAACAGAATCCTTATCTGTTGCTTTTCCCTGATGTAAAACTTATGCATATTTTGATTTTGATGTTCTATTTTTCAGATGTCAGTATCTTGTAATGAACCATGCTTGAGGTTCATATTTCTATGAAGCACTAAGGCAAGCAAGAGGGTGGAGTGGAGAGAGGACGGGGCAACTGATGAAGTGGAAAGGAGAAAGTGGCTGATCTAAGGCAGAGATGGAAACATTGCATTTTTTGAGGGGGTTGCAGCTTCCAAGATCCCATAGCCAGGATGGCTCCTGGCTATCTATCCATGGGATTCTTTGCATTGTAATCCAAAAAAAAAGTAACATTTCCTTCTCTGGTTAAAAGCAAAGGGAAATAGAAGAGAGTGGAGAGTACAGAGGACCAGCTAGGTGGGCATGATTTATATGTTTCTGGCCTCTAATTGCATTGATTCCATAATGTAGTTCAGTATGAACTCATCTTCAGTATGAATTCATCTTCAATCTTTTTCAGTGAAACAGTCTTGGTCAGATTCAGATTGGTCATACCAAGAGCAGGTCCATCAAAATCAAAGGGGATGAGTCATGATTTAGTTGTCTCACTGCTTTCCATGGGCTTGCTCTAAGCATAGCTATGTCTGGATTTAACACTATTGGTAATCTGGAATAACTGCCAGTGAAACTCCTCAAAGCGCTACTGTTTGCTGAAACATACCTATACTATTCTGATTTTGGAAGATAGCCAGGGTTAATACATGGCTGGGAGACCACCAAGTAATATTAGTATTTCTAGGTACAGCTAGGAACGAATCTGGTCTGAAACCATGGCCAGTCAGATTTGACACTACTAGCCTAGATGGAGCAATGGATGACTCAGTATAAGTCAGTTCCCTCTGTTTCTATGAATACCTTCACCAATATCTATATGCCTGGGTACATATAAATATTGTATATTCTACATGGTAAATTGTTAGAGTCTGTAAGCCAGTGAGAAGTGGAGCTGAAGACAATGATAGGTGGCTTGGCCCAACGTTGCTAAGTAGGCAAAAGCAAAACACCAGGCAGGGCCACACCTTTCTTGTGTCTTGGCCAATGGTGAAATATGATGGGATTAGTAGCTCATGAACATCTGGAATGGCCCAGAGACTTATTGTATACACCTCCCCATCCTCTGTAATTTCTAGTACACAAACAGTATGAAACAAGGCTGCAACTAAACTGCTTCCCTGAAAATAATACAGGGTCTTATATTAATTTTTGCTCCCAAAACGCATTAGGGCTGATTTTATTTATTTTTTTCATGTACAACAATCTACATTTATTCAAATACAGTCCTGTCATCTTCTTCTGGTTGCTGCACAATGGTGGAGGGCAAGGTTTCACTTAAATGGGGCTTATTTTGGGGGTAGAACTTATATTACGAGCATCTTGAAAAATCATACTAGGGCTTATTTTCAGGTTAGGTCTTATTTTAGGGGAAACAGGGTAAATGCAGAGTAAATGATGATGATGATGATAATGATAATGTGCTGTCAAGTCAATTCTGATTAATGGCAACCCTTTTCAGGGTTTTCCAGGTAGAGAGTACTTAGAAGTGGTTTACCACTTCCTTCTTCTGGGGATATCCTGGGACCGTGTGTCTTGCTGAAGGCCACACTCTCCCTGGAGTCAGAGTGGGGAATCAAACTCACAACCTCAGGGTCTGCAGCCAGATACATAAACAGTGGTTATAAGAGCTAGCTGAATGCACAGTATTCAGCTGGCTGGATTCTCATTATCAGAGACTTCAGCTTACATAATTATGCCTTGGTCTGGGACTGAACTGCATTCGGATTCTGATACAAATGCATTGTCTTGACAACATGCTGTATATAAAATACAATAGAAGCTTAGGTGACTCCAAAATATAAAACAGAATTAAAACTTTTAAAACTACTACAAGAGTACTACTCTTGTAGAGTAGTACTCTTGTAGTACAAAAACTACTACAAGGTGATGGAGTTAACAAAAGACTACAGATCGCCTCTGACATAGATGGATATCTAGCGCGGCGTGGCTTATTCTCCACAGTAAAATGAATCTGACACACTCACAAGGATAAAACTGATTTCCCTAATGGATAATGTGGAAATGTCTAGTGTATATCTGTATACTTCAAAATGGAAGTAAGTAAGTAAGAAGTAAATATTTCCCTCTGAACAGAACTTCTGGTTTAGTGTTTACTGTTTTCCCTCACTCATCCTCTCAGCTGAGTTTTATTTTCTTCAAAGAAGTATTATAAATTCAGCCGGTAGGTGTCCCTCTTTCCTCGGTCTCTGATTAAATGCGCCAAGTTTCTTCATTAATTCCTTCATTAATACCATCATTAAAAAATAAATAAGCACACCCCATTACTTTCTACGATAGTGATAACGGAGATCTCAACTTGGTACTCTGCCTAGAGTTCATCATCATCACCATCACCATCATCATCACCATCATCATCATCATGATGTGCTGTCAAGTCAATTAAGACCCATGGCAACCCTTCTTAAGGTTTTCCAGGTAGAGAACACTTAGAAGTGGATTACCGTTCCCTTCTTGGTGTGTGTGTGTGTGGGTCACCCTGGGATGGAGCAGCAGCAGCAGCCAAGGGAGGACCTCCAGGCAGCTCTTTAAAATACCTTTTTTCCGAAAGCGCTGTCAGCGGCGAATGGGGGAGAAAACCATCACCATCATCATCATCATCATGATGTGCTGTCAAGTCAATTAAGACCCATGGCAACCCTTCTTAAGGTTGGTAAGGTAGAGAACACTTAGAAGTGGATTACCGTTCCCTTCTTGGTGTGTGTGTGTGTGGGTCACCCTGGGATGTTGCAGCTTGCCCAAGGGCCCACAGGCTGGCTATTCTCCGAGAAGCCACAGCCTGTAATGAATACACAGCAGATCCAGTAGGGCAGTGAGGAGTAGGATTCCAAACAGGGGCAGATCCTAAGCCGAGTCAGGTAGAGAACACTTAGAAGTGGATTACCGTTCCCTTCTTGGTGTGTGTGTGTGTGGGTCACCCTGGGATGTTGCAGCTTGCCCAAGGGCCCACAGGCTGGCTATTCTCCGAGAAGCCACAGCCTGTAATGAATACACAGCAGATCCAGTAGGGCAGTGAGGAGTAGGATTCCAAACAGGGGCAGATCCTAAGCCGAGTCGCTGCAAAGGCGTAGAATACATCTCAGTCTTCCCCTCCCCTTCTTCCCT